TTCATTTTATCAATTTCAGAATTTTGATACAAAGATTGAGACAATAAGTAATGATCAATATGATAATGGAAATTCATCTCAATTAATTAAAAATTTCATTTAAAATCACAAGAATCATAATAATATTTTTTTATATTTTTTGTAATTATCAATAATAACAATCAATTTTATCTGAAATATATAAATATATAAAAGTACGTAAGGAGTAGAACAACAAAGTAAATCATATAATCACTTCACCTCTAAAAACTCCATCCTTGCATTATTCAAGTATGATCTTAGAAGTTTTAGACCAGGACTAGACGGATTAGTTGCATCCACTGCGACCATTTGAGGTTCATCCCCCAAAATAGGCGTGAACTCTTTTAAAAAAGGTAAAAGTGGTGCAAGAGGACTACCAGTATTCGAATTTGGAGCAAGAGGTTCTGGAGCGTAGGTCCCAACTAAGATTACTTTAACATCACTGTATTTACCACCAAAACCTGTTTCAAAATGGTTATCTATATTTTGTTGGTACATAAAATTATAACTTTATAATATTGTAATTCATCTGTCTTACCAAAATTAGTTGATATAATACGATCTGAAATAAATCGTAGCCAGAATCTGACTTGTTGAAGTTGTACAGTAAGAGGTTCTCTAAGACTAACTGTTATAAGGTGTACTGCAGGTTGTTGAAAAGTAAGTACATAATGATAAGATGCTAAAAATTCTTCACGTCCACATAATTCCCAAAAAACACACTCTCCACCTTAACAGTAGAATCACAAACACATGTATTTTTAATAGTAATTATCACAGAAAAAATTAAAATACCATTTCCCTTACCTACATTACCTCGACTCCACTCTACTCCTTGTGTACCCTCATATTCACTATCGCTATATTCAAAACTGAGCGAACCATGCTTACTGGTTACATCTAATTCAATACTTGGTTCCCTCTAAATATAATAAATAATAATATTATTAATAAAATATTTAACTTTACTATCTCAGATTATCAAATATTAAATATAAAAGATAGTTACTTTTGCTGTATAGTTTTGACTTCTTGATCTTCTGAAAAATCCAAAACTAAAAATACCAGATTTTAAAGAATTTATTAAAGATGATTTTCCTGATGCACAATGTCCTAAAAGTCTTACATGTAGACGATCTATTGGTCTATGTGTTGGTTGTAATTGTTTAATATAATTTTCACGTTGAATGGGCTAAAATTCAAATTTGTATAAGTAGAAGATAGAAGGACAAATATTAAGTACGTGAACTTTATTAACATACATTTCGCAGTTTATCCAATAGTGATGCAATATCAGGATGTCCATACTTGATTGCTGTTACATCTGCTCTGATTCCTCGATTCGTTTTGTCAACGTCACAACCAGCAAGGCACAAATGTCTAACAAGATTAATGAAACCATATCTAGCAGCCACGTGTAGTGGTGTTAAGCCCTTTTTATTGGGTGTGTCCAGATCTATTCCACTGTCTATCAAAAATATTACCATTCCCTCATCTCCTGATTCACAAGCTATATGTAAAAGTGTATCTTCTTTCTATTTGAAAAAACACGTTTGTTTATATTTTATTTATGATTCTTAAAATTTGAAAGAAAATATGTAGCAAGAAAACCCTTACACAATCTTTTACATTCAATGGTGCTCCTTGTAGTAATAACTGAGACACAGCTTCAACACAGCCTCGTTTAACAGCACTAATCATAGCTCCACCAAGACCTTGAGAGGCTTCTGACTCCTACAAAATATCAAAAAGATGCAGCCACTTAGTTTTATAACAGTTTATACATATTGTACCTCACCAACGTATTTTGATATACATGTATTAATTACAATGTTAATGTTAACAAATATAAAGTTATTATCCTTTTTATAATATTTAGCTGAGATGCGCATGCTTAGCAAAAGAATATAACATTTAAATTAACAATATATATTGTATGGGAACTGAACTGTATATATGTTGTAACTGTACAAATGATACTAACATCAATGGCACAATGTACATAAATAAACATTATTTCATAAGAAATCAGAGAAATAATATGATTGCAAAATATAATTAAGAAGCAGCCTTGTCAATTATACAGAAACTTATAATATTGCATTCAGCCACAGACCGTGAGGATCCAAGGATGTTTAAGGCACGACTCTGCAGTTCCTCTTTCTCTGGAAAACAAATTTTTTATTACTATTTTATTTTACTTTAAGAAACACTGATGCCATTTAACACATAAACGAGTTCCTTTTACTTACTTTGGATCCTTGATCAACAAGGATCTTATGAAATCTTTGGCAATTTCAGATACATTACTGAAATACTCATTGTCAAATTGATATTGACAAGCAGCCACATTTGTATAAGTTTCTTGTTTATCTTCACCTAGAAATGGTGATGCACCACTTAAAAGAATATAAGTTAAAACACCAACTGCCCAAAGATCAGTTCCTAAGCTAAGTGGTTCATAATTTACAATCTCAGGAGCAACAAACTCAGGAGTACCAAACAGTGCTCTGTGTTCTGATCCAGGTACTAACCGATGTGAAAGACCTAGATCTACATTAGAAATAAATAACATACATTTTCAATACATACTACCAGTATGGAAACTGTAATAGTCAATTACCTATTAATTTTATATTTGGCATTGGTGGTGGTGTCGATAAAAGAATGTTTTCAGGTTTGATATCTAAATGAGCAACTTGATGAGAATGTAAGTGACTAAGTGCCATTAAAACTTGACGAACCTATACAAAAATATAATAGATGTCAGGGTCATTAGAAATTCTATATTCTTACTAAGATGAATAACTTTTTTGAGGTATTATCAACAAACCACATGTGCAGCTTCTAATTCACCAGATGGAACCCAATGGAAAAGTTCTCCTCCAGAAATTAATTCTAAAAGTAGGACAACTGTTGCGCCTGTGTCTACAACTTTGTGCAGTGAAACAATATTTGGATGTCTTAATCGTGCTAATAAACCTGCTTCTCGAGCTAAAAAATAAATTGTCCAGTTGTACACAAAGACAAAATGAAACAGTAAATGTACGAATTAAGATAGCTACCAATATCTGCTGCTGCGACCCCTCTGGCAACACGTCTTTTCCTCATAATTTTGGCAGCATATAGCTCGCCAGTACTTAATTCCATACATTTTCTTACTATCGCAAATTGTCCTCTAAAAGTGAAACATATTATTATATTTCATAGAGTGCAAATTCATTTTTAAGAAGATATGATTCATATACACGTACTTGCCAATCTCTTCCAATAATTTATAATTTTTTTCAATTGGTTCATGGTGAACCTCCATCAATGTGTCCCACTCAGGGCCTAATTGCAAAAAAAAAATTATAGTTTACTCTAGTAAGTAAAATATACTATTCATTTTCATAATAATAGGGAATACTAATTGGGAAAATAGAATCAGAACTAACAGAAAACAAACTGTTACATATGATAACAATGTACTTAATTTTCAATTAATGATTTATATTAAAACATGAAGAAGAAATTATATATCTGCAAATGTATTTTATAAGAATTAAAAACTACAGAACTAAGTATATATCTTTTCTAATATTGCTATCAAATCATAATAGTACATGATAATATTCATTCATTAATAATCGGGGTTTAGAATCAACCGAGTATAGACACCTGTCAATCTCGTAGTAAACAGATATGAAAATCACTTCCGTACACACATAACCACGTGGATACATTTCCGTTAATGTAAGATTGATTCTGTAGTAATAACGTGAACAATATGATTCGTGTTCTTAAATAATGTTGAGTCGGAAAGTAATACTAAACATCTGCCAACCTTGACAGAAATATCGACACGATATCACGTAAAAGAATTGAAGAACAATTGAAAGAATGTCGCTTTTTACCACCGTTCGTAGTTCCTAATTGGCGAGACGAGCCTGGCATCATCTCACGTTCATGCTCATCGTTCAATCTATCCGAACAGTTTTAAGTTTCGCAAAGAGCCGTTACGAAAATTGTGTCCCATTCGTCGGCCTTCACTCATGCCGGCCACCCTACACACACAATCGATATACCTGTGTCGCGTGAAACGCCACCTTCCTCAAAATACATCGCAATCTCATAGAACCTTCTCTAGTCTTCGGTACCGTTCTTAGACCTCATGGTCCATATATTTACTTATATATTGCTAATTACGGGCACTTAAATTATCTTCAACAATTGTTACCCCGTCCCTAAGAATGAAACATATATTTAAAGACGTCCTTTTGGTTTTTTAATATTTGTTCAGATGTAGAATAATATTTTCTAAAACGCTTTACTATTGAATCTGAATAAATAAGACCTAGTAGATTGTAGGGTATTTATCCTCAAAAATACAAATAAATAATTTCATCATTTTAAAACTCAATCATTAAATATAGTAAACTGCAATTATTAATTACTTTAATACTTTATTAAAATATTATTTATTTCTTTAATTTAAAGAACATGATAGTCATAATTTAAACAAAACATTCGTGTAATTATTACAATTTGAGTTACAGAATGAAAATAATAATATTGTTCAAGTATAGTAAATATAAACTTAAACATCTAAAGAAACAGTATTGCTCATAAAATACATGTATGGGTACATAACATAAACGTATTTAATATTGGTATTGTGAAATATATTTGTCTTTCTTGAAAACTTGTACAAAAATGTTATCAAGACATTATGCAATGAATTGATTACTACACACTAATTACAGAAGTTTTAAGTTAGTTAGCTTGTTACAATAAAGGAACAGCCATTTAAGAACTGTATATAGATGAATATAGTTCGTGCTTCATTCTTTTCAGTAGCTTAATAAAGTACTTTTATTGTACGAAAATGCATACAGACAGGCAAACAATGGTTTCTATGAACATGAATTAAGTTTCAATAAAATTATTGTAGGTGAGAATCATTAAATGTTAACGCAAATAAAAGCATTTCGAGCACAATAGAAAATTTAATGTCTTCAATCCTTCATAGCTTCCTCTGAAACTTGTGCAGGTGTTGTAGGTTCATTATCTTTCTTTTTCTTGCTTCCTGATACTATGTCATCAATTCTTAACAACAACATGGCTGTTTCAATAGCTGTTTTATATGTCTGAAGCTTAACAGATAATGGCTCCCAAATACCATGCTCTTTCATATCTACCAATTGGCCAGTTTCTCCATTAATGCCCCATGTCATTCCTTCAGTAGCATGTTTTGCACGGAGTGCAGTCAATGTTCTGATGGTGTTGGCTCCACAATTTTGTGCTAGCGTTCTTGGAATTATTTCAAGTGCCTGTCCTATAGCTTTATAAGGCCACTGTTCTACACCAGCAAGTTTTGCTGCTTTCTCCGTTAAAAGTTTTGATACTGCCATTTCTACTGCACCTCCACCTAAAATAGATAATGTAAATATAATATGATTATGTAATATAAACATTGGAAATAAATATGCATCGTAAATAATAGAAATAAAACTTCTATGTACCTGGCACTAGTTTTGGCTCAATGAGGAGATTTCTTACAACGTGAAGAGCATCTTGCAAGTTTCTCTCTGTTTCATTTAATACGTCCTTACTGGCTCCTCTTAAAATTATGGTACATGCCTTGGGATTTTTACATTCCGTAATAAAGCAGAAATATTCATCTCCAACCTTTTTGATTTCAAAAAGACCAGCTTTAGTACCAACATCTTCATCCCTTAATTCTTCTGTGCGGTTAACCACATTTGCACCACAAGCTCTTGCAATTCTGTTAATATCGCTTTTCCTCAGTCTACGAATAGCAGAAATTCCAGCTTTCACAAGATAATGTTGAGCTAAATCTGATACTCCCTTCTCAGTAATTACTACATCAGGTTTCACAGCTATTATGTCTTCACATATTTTTTTAACGTGTTCCTCTTCTAGTTCTAAAATCCTCGTAAAATCAGTGTCTTTTAATATTTCTATATTAGTTTGAGACTCTCCTTTTTTGTATTCCAAGGGACAATCCAGCAGAACTATTCTTGGATCTTTAATATATCGTTTCATTTTTGGATGCGTAACATCTTTATTTATCATTACTCCTTTAAGAACAGTGCTGTCTTCAACGGTGCCACCAGGGATCTTTTCTACCTTTGCATAACGTTTTATATCAATTTCTTTTCTGCCATTTTCTTCCAACATAACTGTGTAAACAGCATCTAAAGCAATTTGACATGCTAATTCTGACCATCGACCAATGAATTTAGTTCCAACACAAGACTTTATGACTTGAATCATTTTGTTTCTATCACTGGTATCCAAGTTTACACTGATATTGTCATTAAGAATGATCACCATATCTTCCAAAGCTTGACGAAATGCTCTGATTATAATTACTGGATGCATATTTTGTTCAAGAAAAGGTTCTGCAACTGCTAAAACCTCTCCTGCTAATACAATAACTGATGTAGTACCATCTCCAACTTCTTCATCTTGTGTTCTTGCAATCTCTATCATTGATTTGCCAGCAGGATGTTGTACTGTTATTTCACGTAGAATTGCATTTCCATCATTGGTCATAACTATACCTCCCATTGGATCCATCAACATTTTTAACATAGCTTGCGGTCCAAGACATGTTCTAATGATATCCGCAATTGCCTTTAGAAAATAATATAAGTGGGATAAATCTATATTTCTATTTTTAAAGTAAAGTAAGTGTTTCAATGTACTTATACTATAACTTTAAATATAACAGTGTAGAATTTATTTCAAATCTAGCTGTAGTAAATTAAGTAATTACTTATAAACAAGTCTTTTATTTCCTACGTATAAATTGTATCAAGAATTATTGGTTTTATTAAATACAAATATAAGTAGTATTAACTTGATATTCTTTGAAGAAAAAACACGTGGGTGTATCGACGACTAAAGACCATAAATGGTAAATCTAGTGGGTAAATCTCATGGTAGATTGTGGGTCATACTCACCTTGCCGGCTTGGATATTTTCTCTCTGAACTTTCCGGCCGGTATCCCGCTTCGTATTCTGACCTGCAATAACCAGAGCACATGACATCGTTAGAAAAATAGTTTCCGCAAACAAATTTCTAAACAAATGAAATTCGATGTAGTTATTGTTTCAACTTACTTAAAACGACGATCGGTGCATTCCCTGGCCCGAACATTTTTCTTTAGTTTCTTGAACAGTTAAATATTCTGACAGAAAATGACACTTAAATACACGCCTGTCTTTTCTAGAAGAAAATGAAAGACGAAACTTCGCCACAGAAGATCTCTACAGAAAGGAAACTCTGATCTTTTTCTGAAATCAATTGTCAACGCGCATGCGCCTTTAAGTTGTATCACTGTGAATATAACTCCATAAAAAGTTGTAGTATCGATAGTTCAATTATGTACGAAATTTAAAAATAAGTTGATATGTACTGTTATGTTACGTTAAATTTCATAATTTATAATCAAAATGTACAATTGATAAATATAGTTAATATAAAATAAGAGGAAGGGTTTTCCTTAGTGACTTTCATTACCGACAAGATATATGAATATAATATAATATAATTATTCATAAAATTATTATTTTAATATTTATATTTACTAAGATTGCAACTCACATTCAGTTAATATGCATATGATATGACACAATAAAAGTAATTCTTAAGGAAAACATGAAATGGTACAATTTAAGTAATATGGATCGACAATAATAAATTATATAAAATAAAAGTAAAGAAGTTAAATGATACATTTTTTTCAGTGAAATCGAAAACAAAAGGAAAGACAAAAATTGAAAAACTGATTAACCCGACAATGTAAGAATAAACATAAAGTTAAATGAATGAAAGTAAATGCAGAATTTTAAATCCAGTCATTTGACCGGTTCCCGGTACGGTTAGTGTTAAATACATTTTATTTTGGGGTGTGGTGTAATGCGTTTAAATCATGGAGCACATATCAAAATGTCTGCTTTTTTTATAGAATTGGTATGTCAGACCCATAAGATGTTCGGTCTATCCTATCACTCGTCGGTGATGGTACTAAAGAATTTTTACCACTGTCGGTAATTTAGAATACTAGATAAATAATTACGTTTATCGAGTATTAAACGCGTCTAAAGACTACATGCAAACGTATCTGTGCTACAAGCTTACCTATTTTTCACAGATGGCGCCACCAAACATGGGGGCACTTTTATTATATAAATGATTCTTTTTAACTATGAGATTCTGTTTATATACATATATTGTATAACACGTGAATGTAACATGATTTTCTCATTTGCTGATTTCCGCAACTCCAGTTTTCAAATCAAATCGTATATTTTTTGTTTTAGGCCGAGAAGAATCAGAAAAATACGGCAACACGTTGATTAGTCGAAATATACTCAGAAACGGAGTAATGACTACAAAAACTCTATCTTTGACAGTAAATTTCGAAATGGCCATTTCTAACGCAATCTCGACAAAACCAAAAGTCGATTATTTCTTTTCAACCACTTCAACTATCGTAATAATTCGCTTATTATTCGTATCGAGTTGTTCTTCGGGTAACATTCGATATGAATGTTCAAAAACTGCGTAACATCATTGTCATTGTACCTACGTCGATAATTTTTATCCCTTGACACGTTGAATACCGAACTAGTTTTAGTATTCATCCTGATAAACTATAATATCAAACTATTTAGTAGATTTCTGTTATCATTCTTCAGGCGTCTATTTTGCTATATGTCATTGCTTTGTTAGATCTATCATTGATAATATTGAAAAGTTTACGAATAATCATTGTTCAGTTGAATTAAATGAGTTAATGACAAACTGACGTTAAATTTAAATGCTAAAGAATCAGCGGAACATCGTGTGTACACGAACGCTTAATGAACGATGTCGTCACATTATTATTAGAGAATGAAGAATATTTACTTGGATTTTATATAGAACTTCAGGTAAACATCTTTCAAACAAAAAATTACAAAACATGACAATATTAACCTTCCTGTCAACGATTAGGTATCGGGATCGGAACAGCGAGATACCTTTTGTGTGTTTATTGAACACTGTTTAAGCATTCTTTCCAACTTCATTTGCAACAGACCAGTGGGGGTTCAGGGGCAGCAGATGATTAAGAGGATTTATCGGCGTAACAGCATATTAGATTGTTTACCGATGCTGATCGTTTATCCGTGATATCGGTGTATAGACATTCGACGCTTCGAATGTCCGAAGATCCGATAAATCAGTTATTGCGCAGGCATCGGGAGATAAGGAAGTTGGCGCTTCCTCTACACGTTACGAAATCGAGACTGACCACCTGACATCGACCACGAACGGCTGACACATTTTTCTGTTTTCCGTCTTCTGTTCTTTAACAAGACTCACAAAGTACTGAAAACGCGTGCACCAGATGTATTGTTGTTATTCCTCGGAAACGCGGTTTCTCCCTATAGCGATAACAACGACGCGTTGCGTTCAGTATGTTTGTTCGGACACGTCGATCGTGTTGCGCTTGGTATTTGGTGTTCGAAATCAAATAATGAATACGTTTTCATTTTAATCTCGCGCTATACATATCGCAATCTTTCTTCCCTTCTTACTTCTGATTTTTCTTTTCTTCTAAAAATTTGTTTGCCCAATATTTCAACAAATTTTAAACAAATATCAATTGTAATCGATGCGTTCTCAAAGCGAGCCACACGGCTTTGTTTTCACGAAGTGTACCTTCAACGTGAACAAACAGCGAATGTATATACACAGTTGTTAAATTACTCTAGATGTGTTAGAAGAAGCGACACAAACGTCGCACACAGGTCATTAAAATTGAAACGATAGCGACGACAATTCTCTACGAATCAAAGTCGATTGTTCTATACGAAAAACTATTTCGAACGAAAGCGTCTCTCGTTCACGAAAACTACCCTCGCCGTCCAAGCCGATCGGCTTCGACTATGGTTCGTCCGTAGCGCAATAAAATTTAACTCGCGCACGACAGAGAAACGAATTAAAAACGGTCTCATAAAAAAAAGAAGAAAAGGGAGATGGATGATTTAATGGCAGGGTGAGTTGGAGATTCACGCCAGCCCTTCTTGTATTTAGAAGAGAAAGGAAGAAAATGAGAAGAACGAAAGAAAGCAAAACGGATTTCCCCTCCTCTGCCAGTTGCCACTCGCTAATAGGCGCTCGTTAATATTGCGAGTGCCACTCTTGAATATCGAAGAGAGGTTTCTACCTTCCTTCCCTATCTTTCTTTTTTCCTGAGTTTCGCCGTTTCTTCTCCCTCTCGCTTCTGCTCGATAGGCTTGCTCCTCTTCTTGCTCACTCCCTCTTTTCTTCCTTCGCTTTCTCCCCCGTCGCGGCGCGGCACGGTGTCCCTTTCACCCCCGCCGCAACGCCAACGTTCGTCGGATTAAGGCATAATGAAATTACGAGGGTCACGTCATTTTATAAAACGATCGTTAAGCGCCGAGAGTGTTCGCTTGCCATGGCTCTCGTCGAAATGACACCGCATTGAAAACGATCGATCGAAATCTCCGGCGAAAGAACCGCCCGGCCGCGTCGGAGAAGGGGTTCTGAATTTCCGTACTAAGGGTGTCGAGGTGGGGGACAAAAAGTATGACGGCAGGCAGTTTGGTGGAAGGGAGTAAGGGTTCGGTTACGAAACAGGGAAAAGAGAGAAGGTGAAGTACAATTTTATGTATAACACCAGTACGCTAATAAATCGCTGTCTCCCACCACCGATCATCTTCCTCCTCTTCCCGTCCGTTTGTAAAATCGATTATTAATTTAATCTGGACGTTTTGACGGAATATATATTGGAATCCCCGAAAATCTGTGCAGGAAAATGATGCGCATTGACATAGGTTGTTATGAACGTACCGTCATAAGCGCATGCGGAATTTTATGAACACACGCTTCTGTTAACATTCCGTGTGCCAAAATTCATTATAATTTATTGATACGTCGAATATATATCCGGTCGTCGTTCGCCGCTCTCCAAAATAATGACGCGCGTCACTGTATTTCAATTTTTCCTTTCCGGTTTATTTCAACTGGTATGTCACCACATGCAGGACCAACTGATGGAATCGCGATGCGTACCGGTAGCCACCATATTGAAAAGGGTGGGCCAGAAATTAACTTGAATTTTTACGGGACAAAGATTGAATTTTCTTATTAAAGCAGTTTCATTTATAACAGAAAAAAATATTCGCGAAACATGCCCGATGGGAATAGGACTTTCGTTTCCCCTGCGCGTTTTCGGAAATATTTATTTTTCGAATTATTATCGACAGAATGAATTTGCAACGCCTGATTCAAATGCAAAAAGCTTCGTGTTCACTGAAAATTTGTAATTCGTAACGTGTACCGAAGTTTTAAAACCTGATTTTTTTATAACGCAGGGTTATGTAGATCGGAGTTCCAGTCCTGACTATCCGCATTATGTATATGTATCGCGCAGTGAATTTTTCACGATTTCGTCATTGAGGCCGAGACTCGCGAAAACCGAATCGCCGCGTTCGTAAATACACTGGTAACTGTATAATTGACCACGTCAGCGAATTCGTTAGAACCGACGTCGGCGCGTCACCGAATGCCCCCGACCTTTATTAATATTGTTTTTCGGTATGATTAAACAAACCTCCGATCGAACGGCCGGACAATCGCGGAATGCAAACCGATCGCTGAGAATCGCGTCCGTAATCGGCCGATAACCAGGGATCGATTCGAATAGCTTAGCAGAATGGAGCAGGAGTAATTTCATTTGCAAGTAACTAGATTCCCTCTTCCCCTTGACTCTTTTGCCGCCCCTCTTTATCCGTTCAGTCCACTACGCTCGAATCTCTTCTCCACTCGAAAAAAATGACAGGTGTGTAACGTCTCTTTGCGATGCAATAAGGACATCGCCGATGCGGATGCTACTCTTCGGCAAGCTAGAAAAAAAGGGGGCAGAATAAGCAGGAGAAAGAGTAGTCTACAGTAGGAGAACGGAACGGGGGCTGTACAGTCCGTGGCAGTCGAGTCCGATTTGACAAAACTTTTTCACGACAGGGATAACACCTTCGTTGCAGTTGTCAACGAAACGGTTGGGCTACCAGGAACGATATCGTCGAATGGACCCGCGGCTGCTCGTTGTCGCGGCTAGGAACAAGAGGATTTTTCGGAGTCTGGGAGCGAAAGGCGTTGGTATTAATTGGCTGGACCAGTCCGTGTGGAGTGGCCCGAGAGAAACGTGAACGCTACCACTACCATCGCTACCACCACTACCGTGGCCTGACGTTGTGGAACTATCACCGCCACTACCGCCAGCAACGTTATTCCCCGAGTTCGAACGTTTT